TGCTCCACCACCAATTCCCCATTCTACCTGTGCTCAGTTCTGCCTATCTTTCCTTCTGTCTACCCTCACTTCTCTCTCTCTCTCTTCTGTTCTGCTTGTGCTTGGTTTTATCTATCCTCTTTTCAACCTGTCCTCAGTTCTACCTGGCCTCCATTCTGTCAACTTGCCAGAGCACTAGGGGCCCACACAGATTTAAAACTGGGGCACTGGGGTGCTTTTTGGAGGGCTCAAGGCTTGGGGCTTAAGTTCCATCCCAAGGCTCGAGGAACAGAACAAGGCAGTAGTTACGTCCACACCAATGGGAGGAACCCTGAGAAAGAGATTCTTGAGGACAAGCGACCTAGAAATGGGACTAGATGAGGGACGGGAAGAGGTGGTCTCTCCTGCCAGATGAGTTCTTTTTCTTGCCGGACCACCTTTTAAAATATTAATATATTTTCTTTTTATAAAAATAATCTGAGTTTATTCTTCCTCCCCTGATGACTATCTGGTGTCTTTTTTCCTAGTCAATTTTTCTTTTTCCTGTTCTATGTATTATTCTTTTCATTGCTAAAGTGTATATGTATATTTATCTCATTTTTGCCTTCAAATATTTTCCTGTTATTAAAAATGTTTCATATTTGCATGGTTAATGCTTAATGATTTAATGGTTGCACAATATCTTATCATAACACTATGGTATGATTGTTTGATTTAACAAATACATATAGGACACCTAGTTCCACTTGAATTTCAGGTAAACAAATAATTTTCTTTAGTATATGTATGTCTTATGCAATTTTTTCATTGCAATATTTGGGACATATTTATTTTTCATTGTTTGTCTGAGATTATAATTGAACTGGTCATCCTGTAATTTTACCATGTAGCCTTACAAAATATCATATTATTTCCACAATTTCCTGCTGTTGAACATTGAGATATTTTCTGGAATGCAGTGGATATCTTTGGATATGAAATTTCCTATTTTGAATTACTTCCTTAGGATGGATAGTTAAGTAGAATTACCAAGCAGATGAGTCTTTTTTTAAAGACTTTTCAAACTATCACCAAATCACTTTTTAAAAAGGTTATAGCAATTTATCCTCCCACCAACAGCGTATAAGAGTCCTCATTCCCTGCACCTTTGCTAACATTATCATCACTTAAATACTTCTTTGCTATTTTGGCAGGCAAATAATGATATTTCATTTTCATCTTTGATTACTAATGAGGTTCGCATTTTTTGTTTATTAGGCATTCAGTGTCCTGGTTTTAAATCTTCTGCAAGTATCTTCTGACTTCTGTGCTCCTATTTTGCATTGCTTTGAAGCTATAATAAATGTGTCTTATTTTTATGTATTTATTTATTTTTACTCAGCTGCTGGGGCAGGAGCCCAGTCCACAGAGTTTCCGCACAATGGCTTGCCACTACCTACCTGCTAAGCTACCCACTGTTTAAAAACAAAAGCTTCATATGATTCCTCAACCCATCAAAAATAAATCAATTAAACCATAGACTAGTCATTTTCTTCTGCGCTTACAGAATAAAAGTTTTCACACTTCTCCCTCATTTTTGTCCCTAATATATGACAGGTTTCAAATAACTTCACTAACTACCCCCTTTATCTACCCTTCGAAGCCCACAAATACGTCGTGCAGGGTTCTGCTGTATTCCTGTGAGACGAAAGACTTCATGGCATCTGCCATACTTTCCCTGTGGAAATACTGAGTCCCCAGGGCTGGGACTCCATCCCAAAGGGCAGAAAGGAAAAGGGAAGCATTTCTGTGAATTTTAACATGCATATTGTCTCTTTTCTGATGGAGTTCGTGCTTCAACTTAGAAAAAAACTGAAATGACAAGACAACTTTCTCTAAGAAAGGAAGGACTGAACAGTACAAATTATTTCTAGAACACTTCCTTAGGTTTAGCCAAGAGGTCGTGCACAATGTCCGGCAGCATCGCCTCTACCTCCTGGTGACGGCCTGTCCTTCTGGCCTCCCTAGGCCTACTGTGTTTGTCCCCGTAGTTATTAAACAAGGGGCCACTGGGTTGCCTTCTCTGTGACATTCGCATGCAGAGAGCAGACTTCACGCTCTGTGTTTACCGAATCCCAGGACTTGCTTTATGGAAATTACTATGTTTTCTTCACCTTTCCATTTTCTGGGTCCCATCAGTTTTCCCATTCTTTTCCCTGCATAAATGTTTGAGCATGACGTGACAATCTGCCCTCTGAATTGAATATGTCTATGCCACCTATTTGAACATCTGGGCTGAGTCTGGGGACAGTGGTTTTTCTCATAACTGTTACTCTGTACTCATGCTCTCAGCATTTCAAGACCCTTCAAGGGTTTTGCTTTTCTTCCTACTTATCTGTCTTATCCTATCCTAGCTTAGTTTAGTTTCGTTGTGGGGGGTACAGGTGAGAGTTTCCTAGATAAGTTAACTGCATGCAGGTAAAGTGTGGGCTCCTAGCAGGCTGTGCCTCCCCTTGGTAGTGGACCCGGGAGCCCATGAGTTGTTGTGTGCCATTCATTTCTTCTCCCTCCTTCCCTCCTTCAGCGGTGTTCAGCATCCGTTCCCACCTTTTTGCTCATGTGACCAGTGATCAGGGCCGGCTTATGAGTGAGAACATGTGGTATTCAGTTGTTGGTTTCTGTGATGGATAGTTCACTTAGCCCGTCATACTAAGTGAGCTATCTCCCTACTTTCAACTTGATATTTTGAGTAAGCCCACTGGTATATTGCTTATATTACCTTGCAATAAATAGCCAACTTTGTGATTTCATTCATTCTAAGGTGTAAGTCTCCATTGGGTAACTGGTTTGACCAGCAGAAAGTTGCTTTGAGCACTCGCTAGGTGCATCTAGGCCAGCACAGCCTCTTCCTGCACTGGAAGAGCTCTTTATCTCACAAGGGAAGCATTCGAGTCATAGCAGCTGCATCAGGGCTAATAGTGGGACATAGGATGATAGAGGTCTTCCTCATCTGCTTCCCACTTGCTCTCGTGACTGCAAGAGTGAGAGAAAGCAAATGTCATCCTTGAATGGATCATCAGCAGTGGCTTCAGATTCCTTAGAGAAAGAATTAAAATGTGTATCGGAACCGAAGGGAAAGAAATTAGGTTAGCCACTAAGTTCCTGCCTTCTCACCCTCAGTCTCACTGACTACACACGAGAAGAGAATCTACCACGTGATTGAATGTGATTGAATGTGGCCATGGTTCTAACCACCTCAGTACACTGTTTGATCAACATGGCTATTATTAAGATGGCTATCCAAAGGATGACATCTCTTTGTCTTAAGGAGTATGCAAGATTCAAAGGCAGCATCTCCTGAGCTCAGATGGGAAGCCAAATATTTACGTATTCGAAAGTTCATATTCATAAATAGATATTTTACCATTTTACTAATCATTTCTCCAATGTAAAACAAGCATTATTTAGCTCTTTCTCTGAGCACCAACTTGGAATCTAAATCTCAGCAATTATCATCATTCACAAATAATTTACATTTCTGGGCAAATGGAAGATACCATATCATCATTATTGTATTTGTTCAATTTGCGTAATGCATCCTTGGAGGACTCATTTGGAAGCATATATGTATACTATAGATTTAAAATGGGTTGGAGAAGATATCAGACTTTAACATTTCACTGTAGAGCTTGTATTCCAAATTAACATAAAAGACATTTAGGCATTCAAATATATTGCTAGTAAAAGCAGAGTTAGTAAAATAATGCAATTTGGGAGATCATTTAATAGGGCAAAAATAGGGACATGTCTCAAATTATTTTGCATCCTATAATTTTACTGGCTTAATGGGAGAAAATCTATAATCTATGTTCCTTAAAATGTCTCTAACTTAAAAGAAAATATTTAAGAGCAACGAAGCCTTTGAAATGTTGTTAGGCACAAACCCTAGCAGTGAGAAATTACAGTTAATGACAACAGAACTGCTTGGCCTCCAAGCCACCCACCAAAGCAAATACCCTTCAAGGCATGTGAACAAAGGTGTGTACAGCCTGGACCACACACACACTGGCTGCCTCCATTTGCCAGCTGTGTTGGTCCCTTACCTCTGCAGCATTCTTGATTTTGTTTGTTGCTTTCTTTTTTCCTCTTCCTTTTATTTCCACCCAACTCTGTCTGGTATGAGAAATTCCCGTCTCTCCCACTTGACATTCTGACGAGGCTGCATTCCTCTCCTCTTCTTTTCCAGGAGAGGAATTGGACCATAACTCATCCTAGGGTTGGTGGTGATTGCCTCCTAATCGGCCAAGAGGGGATATGGGCTGATTGTGAGAAATAAAAGGCCTCTTTGCCGCTCAAGAGGAGGGGCTGCACACAGTTTCTAAGAGAGCACAAAACAGAAGTGCCCGTGATTCCATCCTGTCTTTAATTTTTGTGTATTTTTTTTTTTTTTGAGTTGGAGTCTCACTCTGTCGCCCAGACTGGAGTGCAGTGGCCGCTCCCGGCCACCGCAGCCTAGACCTGCTGGGCTCCGGCGATCCTTCCGCCTCAGCCTTATAAGTAGCCGGAATTACAGGCATGCGCTACCATGCCCAGCTGATTTTTTGATTTATGTAGAGATGAGGTCTCGCTGCCCAGGCGGGTCTCGAACCCACGGGCTCAGGCAATCCACTCATCTCAGCCTCCCAAATCCGCGGGATTACAGGCTGAGCCATCGAGCCTGGCTAATTTTTGTGTATTTAAGGCAAAAATATTTAAAACTTGTTTTTCCAGCCTGACCAACCCTGTATCTGGAAGCATTTAATGCAGTTAGGAAGAACAAAATATAGCCTCACCCCTAGGGGAAAAAAAAATCCCGTGGTTGGAAGTGGCCGATCGATACCTTGCACTGGTCAGCCTTAAGGGGCAGTAGGACTCAGGTCTTCCTACTCACACCCTTTCCCTTCTCCCTGACAGTTGTCAGTCCCAGACCCTGGGTTGACATTGACTTTTCCTGTGAGTACTGTTCTCTCCCCATCTAATTCTATCTTTGGATTCATTTACAGGGAAACTTTGTGGCTTGCATGACAGCTATTTTGCGACAAATGGAAGATTATCATTATGCCCACTTGATCAAGACTTTTGGGAAGATGAGGACCGATGTAGTGGTGAGTGTCCCTTTCACTCTTTTCACATTACTAGGGTTTAGACAAAATGCTGATATCAATATTTCCATTTCAAATAGGATTTTGCATGAGAACTTGCCTTTGATTGATTTCAGAAGCCACCTAGGAAGGTCTAACTGAGGCCTTGTTTCTATTATAAGAGTTTGACTTGCAGGCTTGCTTCTAGTACTGGACTCTAGAATCATTCATGGAATGAGTCCAGAGAAATGTCTTATCTTTTCTGGTCACAATTTCTTCTCCTGTGCTTTGGGATAATTGATAATTTAGAGATGTTATCCATGGATAGTCTACCATTAACTCGTTCATTTATTGGTTGACTTTTCTTTTTTTTTTTTTTTTGAGTTGGCGTCTCACTCTGTGGCCCAGACTGGAGTGCAGTGGCCGCTCCCGGCCACCGCAGCGTCGACCCGCTGGGCTCCGGCGATCCCTCCGCCTCAGCCTTCTGAGTAGCCGGAATTACAGGTGCACGCTACCACGCCTGGCTGATTTTTTTATTTATTGTAGAGATGAGGTCTCGCTGCCCAGGCGGGTCTCGAACCCGCGGGCTCAGGCAATCCACTCACCTCAGCCTCCCAAAGGCGCGGGATTACAGGCTGAGCCACCGAGCCCGACTTGGTTGACTTTTCAATAGCAAAAGCCAGAGAGACTTTTCAGCTTTAAATTGTACTCTGTTATTAATTAGCTCTAATCATGGAAGCTCATCATCATGTCTCCAAATAATTCTGTAGTCATCCTCAGTAATACTATGATACAATTTAATTAGGAAAAGTGTAATAGAGAGGAATTTATTGCTTAGGACTACCTCTCTAATGACCTGAAATTACATTGCCATATGGCAAATATCCTCTGCAAAGCTGCAACCAAACTTGCTGGCAGAGTTCCTGATTACATGTTGACTTGAATTCTTAGATTCCATTTCTAAAGACCCATAAATTCCTATAGAATACCTATAGATTCGGCCGGGCTCTGTGGCTCAGCCTGTCATCCCAGTACTTTGGGAGGCCGAGGTGAGTGGATTACCTGAGCCTACGGGTTTGAGACCCGCACGGGAAACTTGGTGAGTCCTCATCTCTACAATAAATCAAAAATTAGCCGAGCGTGGTAGATGTGCCTGTAGTTCCGGCTACTTGAAGGCTGAGACAGAAGGATCGCTGGAGCCCAGCAGGTTGACACTGGGGTGGCTGTGAGCATGCCACTGCACTCTAGCCTGGGCGATGGAGTGAGACTCCAACTCAAAAAAAAAAAAAAAACCTATAGATTCTTATAGAATACAGAAGATTCTACTGTTTTTTTTCCAAAACAAGGGTTGTTGCACTTGACATTATCTTATTAAGAGCTGGGAAGAAAATGATGATTTTTCTCGAAGGATTATTTCTAATACAGAATGTTCTTATTTTTTGCCACTATCCATGCACACATACACATACATACACGCACACAAAATCATGGGTTGCTTTAACAATAAAGATGCATTCTGAGAAGTATATCCTTAGGCAGTTTTGTCATTGTGGGACTGTCACAGAACGTACTTCACAAACCTAGATGGTACAGCCTACTAGACATCTGGGCTATAGAATATTGCCTATTGCTCATGGACTACAAACCTGTATAGCTGGTGACTTTACTAATACTGTAGGAAATTAGAATATAGTGACTGTGACATAACTAGGTGATAGGAATTTTTCAGCTCCATTATAATCTTATGGGACCACCAACATATATGCAGTTATTTCATTGACTGAAATGTATGGCACATGACATATTTTTTAATTTCTAAAGAGAACAAAAATGTGTATGAGCCTTAAAATCATAGCACCATCTCTTAAATAAAAGGGAGCAAAAATGTGTATTTTTATATTTATGTGTTTTGGTTTTCTCTGAATATCACTTAGTCGTTTATATTAGGAGTATATTCAAATATGTAAAAATTATATCCTGTATTTTTTTTTGAAATCATGACATAGTGAAATCATGTTTTATATTTGTAACATTTAATACTATAGTTGAATCTTAAGTATAACCTAAACCTTTTTTTAATCAGTGGCAAGAGTAGTTGTACCTTGAAACTATAGGAACAGTTTCAAAGATAACATTCCAGACTAAATTTTAAAAGCTTCAGAATGAGAATTACTCATCCTGAAAAGTTAGGACTCTAATTAATCCTTTCGTCCTTTACCAGACAGTCACATGGTCAAAATCTACACATGCAAACTGTTATAAACATTTAATCTAAGTCATTAAGTAGTGTGATTGGTAGGGAAGCTTCCGTGTACGTGTTGAAAAAAGTGATTATATAGAATAGGGTTTAAATTATTGTAGTTTGCTGAATTCCAAATGTGTGCCCACTTTCTTTACTCAGAGATCAGATATTTATGACATGTTGTGGTCCTAATTTCCCAAGGGATTTTTTTTTTTCTTAGACTCAACAGTTCAAAAAAACACAATTAATTACAGACAGTTTGATTTCTGTTATAAAATGGCCTTTGTGATTTGAAGATCACAAATTCATACTGGAAGGAATGTGAACCTTTTTACTGTTGTTAATTTGTCAGAACCTCTGTAAAATGTGTTCCTATCCATTGACTGCATATAGAAAGTATTTATTCTTCTACTCTGACAACCATCAAAAACTAAAATAACTGGAAATTAATTAGTATTTCTTTTTTTTATGTAGCAGATTTTTATTAAACACTTGAAGAGTAAGGGGGAGCATTGTAGTCCAGCATGGTATTAAATCATAATTTGAAGTTTAATATTAGCCATTGTTATCCAAAAATTCTGCCATCTACTTCTCAAGATATTTTTCTTGCTATTTATTTCCTTATGTCCCAGTTTACAATTTTTTTTCCTTCCTTATTGCTTACTTACATTTCTTCTCTTTATTCCTTTTTTTTTTTTTTTTTAAGATGTGGGGTACAATTCAGGGTTATAATTAATATTTTGATATGAAAATGGCCTAGGCCAGGCGCAGTGGCTCACGCCTATAATCCCAGCATTTTGGGAGGCCCAGGTGAGAGGATTACCTGAGCCCACGGGTTCGAGACCAGCCTGAGCAACTGGGTGAGACCTCATCTCTACAGTAAATCAAAAAGTTAACTGGGCTTAATGACACGTGCCTGTAGTTCCAGCTACTGGGAAGGCTGAGGCGGAAGGACCACCTGAGCCCAGCAGGTCGAGGCTGCCGTGACTGTGAGCGTGCCACGGCACTCCAGCCAGGGCAACAGAGTGGGACTCCAACTCAAAAAAACGTGTTGTCTCCTTCTAACAAGTGCTATTTCAGTTTCCTAAAATTAGCTCTTTTGGGTTGAGTGAGTTATTTACATCCAAAAATCACAGTTATCAATACCAAAGATACTGGGAGTATAGAGCACAGGCAGAAAGACTGATCCAGGAAGGAAAAAACAAGGGATACGTTTCACTCAATGTTCCCTCATGATAGAGGCAATCCCACTGCTTTAGGATTTGAGCCATGAAGAATCTTTGACGTCTTCTGTGGTGAAGATGCTGAACTGCCCTATGGGCTGCTGGCTGCCATGGGACCAAGTCTCAGTATCAGAAAAAGAAGCGGAGAACTTGTTCAGGGTCTCCTTAGTAAGACAGAAGGGCATGAGGAGGCGTCTAAACCTTCCAGTGGAGAGTGTCGTCTTGGTACTTGTCACAAATTCCCACTAAGTAGCTCCGGGCAGACACACTCAACATTTCTCTATACTCCCACACTCCTGTGACCAGATTGGGGGGTGGGGGATTTCTCCCACACTGTCCCATTCTGACACCAGGTGGGTCTCCTATATTTTAACTCAATTCTGACACTGATCAACTGGAGTTAGCATCAGATTCCCCAAGGTAAAGGACTCGTCTGATTATGTTCAGTGTTTGCCAGTATTACGTATACTCTTTTTTCCACGTATCATGAAAAATTTAAAACATACAGAAAAGCTGAAAGAGTAGTACACTTGAAACCATTATTCCTGCCACTTGAATTCACCAGGTAGGAGCTCTTTGGCATATTTGCTTCCTTTGTGCATCTGTAAGTATCCCTACCTATATAGCCAACTCCCTTAAGTAAGTGCGAGATGGGAAGATGCTCCTGCCCTAAGTGGTCCAGCAAACATCACTCAGGAATGAAGTCATTCTCTGATCGTCTTACTGTTCCTCAGGAATATAGCAATTATCTCTCATTTCATTTGTATTCATATTTCCTTCATTCCCCCCACCCCCGCCTTTTTTTTTTTGAATCGGAGTCTCACTCTGTCGCCCAGACTGGAGTGCAGTGGCCACTCCCAGCCACCACAGCCTCGACCTGCTGGGCTCCGGCGATCCTTCCACCTCAGCCTTCCAAGTAGCTGGAACTACAGGCGCACTACCACGCCTGGCTGATGTTTGATTTATTGTAGAGACGAGGTCTTGCCAAGTTGCCCAGGTGGGTCTCGAACTCACGGGCTCAGGCAATCCACTCACCTCGGTCTCCCAAAGCGCTGGGATGACAGGCTGAGCCACTGAGCCCGGCCTTTTTTCCCCACATTTTATGCCTTGTATTAGGGGCTTCCTCCAAACAGATTCAAATTGTGTTTGGTTCTTGTGTCTCTGTAATCTTTTTTTCTGGAATAAACCCATCACCATCACATTGTTTTTATTCTTTTCATGGCATTACTTTTCCATTTTTTTGAAGACACCAAGTCAATAGCTTTATAGACTATCTTCAATTCTGATTTTTTTTTTGGTTTTTTTTTTATTGTAGAGATGAGTTCTCGCCAAGTTGCCCAGGTGGGTCTCGAACCCGCGGACTCAGGCAATTCACTCACCTCGGCCTCCCAAAGTGCAGGATTACAGGCTGAGCCACCCAGCCCGGCCAATTCTGAGTTTTTTGAATGCTGCCTTGTAATACCTTTTGACTAATTTCTCTATCCCCCTATATGTCCTGCAAACCAGAAACTTTTGCAAGAGTGTTTGATTGTTGGTGTTGAAAGCTTCCTATTGTCACCTCAGGGGGCTTGGAATGTCATGCTGGTAATGCCAAGTTTGACTGCTTGGTTAAAAGGTGGCAACTGCCTGATCTCTCCATTGTGAAGATATGCACCCCCATTTCTTTGCAATTGTTAAATAATCTTTGGGTGAAATTTTGAAGCCACATAAAGTTGGCAGATATTTTATTTTCCCAACAGTCTTTCATCAGATGAGTTGAAAATCTGTTGATGTCCTTGTCTGTAAGTGTTATTTCTTTGGCGTAGCACAATGGTAATTTCCTAAATCTCAGAGTCAAGATGCTTCTTCTTTAGTTTAAGAGCACTGGAAAGCCATAGTGAATGTGGGCTCATTGTGAAATTGAAGTGTCAGTGCATTGATCGGATGTGTAATTTGAAAAGATACCTCTGGGTGAAATGTGGGGACAAAGAGAGCCAAGAGGGATCCAGGTCGACGGGCTAGACGTCCCCTGTGCCAGTCCAGGATGACCCTTTGTTTAGGTGGATGGAGATAGTGATGGAAACAAGGAAATGGGGTTATGACAAGAAGATGTTGCCTTTGAAATACATGCATAGCTATTGTTAGAGCCCTGCTTGTATTATATAGGGCATCTTGTGAATAATCAAATTAAAAGATGCAACAGGAATAGATAGGCATTGAATGATGAAGTTTTCACAAAGTACCCCTTGTTGACTTGGAGACGCTCATGTAACAGTTTGTTAAGCCTCATCAGCTGCTCTGGGCAGAGCCAGTTGTGAGGGACCACCACCATGGCTACTGAATTATGCAGATGACAAGGAAGCCTTACAAAACCTCATCCCCCACTCTATGCAGCATTTTGTTTGATCAGCAAAGTACCACAATTTAACAGCTGAACCATACTAATGAAGTATGGGCCTGTGTCTCCTAGAAAAGAAAGGGAGTTGGGAAAATATGCTTCTCCTCTAGAATAATAAAAACCAGAGCCGGTATCTCAATTATTAGGCTTTGAGAAGTGATCGGCAAGAAAACTAGCAATTTCATGCAAATAGAGATGTGACTGAATTACAGTACTCAGCCTGCGGAATATGCAACCTGGTCATTAAAATGGGAAACTCTTGACAAAGTAGGGAAACTAAGTCGTGAAATTTGAATTTCAGTAATTGAACTGGGAAAAGAAGCTACTTGCTATGTCAGGGCAGCCCTAGAAAGCTCCTGCTCCTGAGGTCTGGCAGACACAGCACCTGTGAGTAGAGTTTAGAGGACATCTGGACCAACTTTTCCTCTTGACTTTGCCCAGGTCCCTAACCTTTCCCGGACTAGAGCCCTCCATTGTGGTAGCGTGATTGGGATCACTTCCTGCATCTTTATTTATGCTGGGGGGCATGCCAGACCTCTCATACAGCAGATATGATTTGCCAGAGCCTAGCATTGCCGTTCAGGTTGCAGAGAAAGTATCTTAACTTTGACCATCAGCTTGTTGTTGTCATCAAATTTAACTTCCTCCTGTTTGCAGGAGTTGCTTTTTGAGAACTTTGTACTGGGAATTGCTTTCTTGGCTGCTTCAATTCTGTTCACCACCCTGGCCTTCACAGCCATTGCACCTAATTTTGATTCAGTAGATTAAATAAATGGGAAATACCCACTCATTTGGCAATCTCTGACCATGACCTCATTTTTCTAAGTCAATTCTCTGTTGCTTTTTCCCTTCCCATTCCAGGTGTACAGTGAGCAAGGGGCCAGGAGGGGTGTGTGCTTGGGGGAGTAGCCACTTGTTTTGTTCAGGATAGCTCCTACAAAGAGGAAATTCTCCTAATTCCAGTAGACACGTCATGGAGCCCCTAGGAACCTGGCACCCCTTCCTGATGTCAGGAACATTCTTATCAGCATGGAAGCAGAGTGGGGCAGCTGGCCCCTGCTCCTTTTAAGTCAACCCGTGAAGTCCAGAGAGGCATCTGAGACACCAGAGGCAGAAATAAGTGATTTACAGGAACACAGCTGCTATATAGAAGAGTCTGGCAGTGTGGCCACACGTCCAAATGCTTTATGGCATGCCGAATATGTGCAGATGGTCAGGAGTTCCTGTTGGAGCCTTCTATTATTAAATTACATAAGCAAAAAAAGAACAGACAGTAGCATCCCATATTCAACCTGATGCAGCCTGTTTATAATGAAAAATGAATGTAGAGTAAACAGAAGGAAAAGCTGTAACCTGCTTGCCATGTTTGTAAAACTTGCATTATCCTGTAAGCAAGAAGTGCTTGGAAGCATATTTGTAACCTTTGGGGACTTACTCTTTTTAACTATTAGAGTGACACGCTCAGGGACTGTCTCAGAATATCCTTGAGAAAGTCATCTAGGTTAGGAGGTGCTCCATTAAACAGAAAAACAGAACTCATACACAGCTCCTGTGAAATACGTCTTTATTCCTTTTCAGAATGTTTTCATTCCGCTTTAAAAATGGAGGCTTTTGTAATCTAATCGTTGTGGGAGGCGTCGCTTTCGCCTTTTGCTTTGTGGGCTGTTTCAATGTTTGGTTTTTTATTTCAGGATTTTCTAATGGAAACATTCATCATGTTTAAGAACCTCATCGGGAAGAACGTCTACCCTTTCGACTGGGTGATAATGAACATGATGCAGAATAAGTAAGTACAGGGAGATCAGCTCTCACCTTTATGAGGTGTCTTACTCATGTCTGGTGGGAACCCATATGTAGTGTTGCCGGGATACCAAGGTAGCTTTTCTGCAGAGAACCATACCCCTTTGAGTGATGCAAAGAGTGATGGGAAATTGACCCCAGCCTTGTGGTGACTCCCTTTTGCCCACCTGGGGCAGTGACACTAAGAACTTGGGCTCTGTCCCCTGGAGAAAATCAACCTGAGCCTTAGCCATCACCCTGGACAGGGAGGTACTGTTTGCCATTGATCTGCCATCTCGTGTTAACCCCGTGTTTTTATCAGCCAAAGCCATTCTGAGCCCTGTCTGTGTGAGGCTTTTGAACGGGGTTTGCATTTCATGTATTCCGGATTTTTTTTTTTTAAACTGTGAGCATTTTCTTATCAAATATAAAGCTTGTGAATTGTTTATCATCTCCCTGTATGGGCTGTTGGTTGATTTTCTAGCACATTGGGCGTTATCATTTCTGGAACCACCAGCAATGACCAGAGAGGGCTCAACCATGTAGGATTTTTAAAAAGAACTTTCTGTTAATCTCCCCTCTTTCTTATTGCAGCTTAATGGAGATAACTGTAGATTCATATGCTGGTGCAGGAAATAATAAAGAGAGATCGCGTGTGCACTTTATCTAGTTTCCCACATAGCATTGCATAAAACTGTATAGTACTATACAGGGAAATTTACAGGGAATATACAGTAATATACAGGGAAATATAAACAGGGAATTGATGAAGACACCACTCGCTGATCTTATTCATGCTTTCCCAGGCTTATTTGTATTTCCTAGTGTTTGTGTGGCGTCGTAAAGAGTTTTATCACATGCAGAGGTTATAGACTCCACCCCCCACTATGGTCAAATACCAGACATTTCCATCACCACAGTGTTCTACGTGCTGGTCACATTTACCTCTCTACCATCCCTAACTCCTTGCAACCACTAATTGTTTTCCATTTCTAAAATTTTTTTTTTCATTTCAAAATGTTATACAAACAGCCAGTCATTCAGTGTACAACCTTTTTGACATTGGTTTTTTTGACATCGGTTTTCTTGCTGGGTCACGTGATCATTGCACATTAAGTTTTCTAAGAAACTGCCAAACTATGGCTGTTCCATGTTATGTTCCCACCAGCAATGTGAGAGTGATACAGTTTATCTGCATCCAGACTTTGGTGTTTTCACTATCTTTTATTTCAGCCATTCTGATAGATGTGTAGTGTATCACCTTGAAGTGTTACTTTGAGTTTTATATGATGGCTTCGCTTCCTTTAAATGCCTTTTGCTGGCCAGGTGCGGTGGCTCAAGCTTGTAATCCCAGTACTTTGGGACGCCGAGGTGAGGGGATTGCCTGAGCCCATGGGTTTGAGAGCAGCCTGGGCAACTTGGCAAGACCTCATCTCTAACAATAAATATAAACATTAGCTGGCCGTGGTCGCATGCGCCTGTAGTTCTGGCCACTTGGAAGACTGGGGCAGAAGGATGGCCGGAGCCCAGCAGGGTGACTCTGGGGTGGCCGTGAGCATGCCACTGCACTCCAGCCCAGGCGATGGAGTGAGACTCCAACTAAAAAAAAAAAAAAATTCCTTTTGTTCACCCTGTGGACAAATCCATAGTAGCAGAACCCTTCTCTTGGCCACTCCTGGATGTTGGGACTCTCTGTGACAGGGGGACGAATGGGCTTGGCATGTCACAAGAGGCAGGGTTCTTACAGACCTCCCTTCGGGTAAGTACAAGAGAGCGCTGTCCATCTTGGGTGTGGTTTTGTTGCAGATGAGGTCTCCTTCCACACATGGAAGACAGCATTTGAGAATACAAACTGGAGCAACCTAGGAGAGCCAGGCATTGCTGTGGTCACAGCCTGGGCCTGGGGAGTCGAGTAGAGGTCCTGGCCTCTGCTTGTCGCATTTCCGCCTGCTGTGTGGCTTTAGGTGATTCCCATGGCTCAGCCTGTAATCCTGCGCCTTGGGAGGCTGAGGTGAGTGGATTGCCTGAGCC